TTGCCTTCCTGCCCCCCCCCCACTATATTCCCTCACCCCCAAATACCCTCCCTCTCATCCATTCAAATGTTTCTCCATCCCTCTCACCCCACCGCAGGGTGCTCAAGGGGGAAGGAGGGAACTGTAAGGGAAGACTCATGAGTGCTGGAATCCCAGCCTCCTCCTGCTCCCAGAAGCTGTAGACAGGTGAACTCCAGCAGGGAGCCCCTTCCCTGCTCTGTCCCTTCCTCCAACCAGCTCCTTAGCTGGAAGTTATTTCATTAGGAACCTTCTAGGGAGCCTACATACATGAATCTTGCAGGCCCAAATGCTGGCTCCTGGGCCTCTTCCCAGGGTCTGATTCATTTATTCTGGGCAGGGTCCAGCAACCTTCATTTTCGAGGAACACCCTCCAGGCGGCCCCAAACCTAAGAATCACACTTTGAGAAGCACTGGAAGGGGTTAAATACCAAGTCCCAGGACCCAGAAGGGCTGCCTGAGCAGTGTGAATGGGAAAGAGATCAGCCCCTCTGTGCCTTGACTCTCCTTCCCGGTGGAATGTGTAACCATGTGTTCCTTGAAACATCAGTGCAAAGATTTAGCACAGGGCTGGCATGCAGCCAGCACTCAAAAGAGTCTATGTGATGACAAGTGGAGGTGTGACCTTCTTCCCCCCAGACTTTCCCTGCCTCCCCTTCCCCCATGAGTCACTGTCTGGCCTTGGGAACTGGGAGTCAGACTCTCTCAGAGCCTCCAGAAGCCCTGCCTTCCCAGGAACCCCACGTGTAAACACAACCCCAGGCACAGGGAAATTGTAGGCCAGTGCAGGGGCAGATGTCTTTGGGGAAAAGAATTCTAGGGTGTCCCTGAGAATTAACTACTCCACCCCAGATGAGTGACCCCACCCAGAACCTTCAAGGTCCAAGCTGCTATTATATCAGAGGAGCGTTGAAGGGTAGGCAGCATCACTGGGAAACAGCCCACCATGGGGTCAGGGTGGTACTTAGCACGTGATGAGCATGGTCAACCCCTGCCCCCATCACTGGAATCACACTCCCACCACACACACCACTCTGCATACACTCTGAGCATCCTGAAACCCACGGTGGACTCATTGGAGGTGCTCCGAGCCCAGGAAAGGAAAGGGAAGGACCTATTTCTGCCTGACAGAGACACAACGGTTCCTGCCAATAGGAATTCTTTAGCTGGCTGCATCATTCACAACATTAACTGAAATCAAAGACCATGCCAGGCTAAAATACAGGGGTAGCCCCCCCAGAAGGGGAGGCCCAATGGCCATCATGGCTACAGCCACCCCTGCACTGTTCAGAGGGCCCTGGGTGTCCCAGCCTCAGGCCTGAGCTCAAGACCGCCATGGCAGCATGTCCCATCGGAACTGATGGTAGGTGTACTGCTGCCTCCCTGCTCCGTCCTGAGGGAGCTTCTCCAGGGCCACGTTCGCTGGGGTACTGCAGGGCTGAAGCCTGGAG